AGATCTTCAAAACAGCAAGATTTCATATGCAAAATGAACATTTTTGCCATCGAATGAATGAGAATACAAAGAAAGTGTAAGATGGCATCATCATAACGTAATTTCACATTCTGGTTGTAGTTCTCCTAGCCAATACTGTGATATTGCGAGTCAAGGAATAAATATAAAAACTACTGAAGCACTAATTCTACATGTAATATGGATTCTAGAGTCACAGAACTCTTGGGCAAGTAGTAGCAATTGATTGGATCAGTCGAACATTGAATGAATGGACCAATTTAATTTATTGTAGTACAACCCATGTTCTAATTCTAGTAGGTTGTTCTCAGACATTTTGTCACAATTTACCTTTAGTATTTTTATGTATAATTTACAGAAATTGCCCAACACACTGAAAATACAAATTAATCAGGTTGTTTCAGTAAGCATTAAACATAGCATTTTTGTTCAGCATTCTTAGGGTGCTTGTTAGTATCACTGAACATATCCTCTGCCAGTAAGTTGCTAATATAAAAAGCACGTGTTGCATCTCTTGCTCTCTCCACAATCTAAATTCAACCATATTTTTTTTTGGTATAAATTGTAATTTAGAAAAAAATTGAAAACAGAAATAAACTAACAAGAGTTCCAGACTCAGATAACAAACATCCAGCTCGTTCAGAATTTATAGTTTCTTCTGAAATGAAACTTGAATATCACTAGTAACTGCATTCTCAGTATTAAAGAGCAGAACATTGTTGAATTATATATAAAACTTTAGTTTCACAGTGAAATTATAGTAGAAAAAAATCTCTAAGCTGGGTCAGGCATACATACATAAGTGTGGTGAGAAAAAAATACTAATATAGTACAATGTAGACAGTGTAATTTTCTTTTCTTCTTTAAGGTCTTTCAAAAAATATCTCTTCTATCCATACTATAACAAGCTCACAAGGCTGAGTGGGATGCAGTTTTTCAATGAGCACAGAATAAAAATTCAGCATCAGTCCAGTTTGTTGCCATGCAATCCTGTTTATAGTAGTTTGATAGAAAAAGAATAGTTTCCATTATCTGTTGCAAGGACATATTAATATCTACAGATTCAGATGTCTTTTTTGGGACAAAGGCAGAGAATTAAGCACAGAATAAAAAATATAATGTGGTTTGCCATTACTTACACATAAGAATTTTTTTCTGCTTTACTCTGTATTGCTCTATATAATTTGTGAGGCATGTTGTTTTGGAAAATGTAGCATCCTACCCTATCAGTTGCAGTTCATAAATCTGAAGGCTAACAACTATGCTGCAAAATGTTAATTTAAGAAGTGCTGAAATTAACATCTGCCGCAAACTTACTTGAATATGGAACAAAATCTGATATTGGAAACTGGAACTGAAAGTTCTTGAACTTCTTACGCCATTTTTTAAAATTGTAGGTCCTAGTACCCTAACCTCAAAAAGAAAGTTGCACGCCTTATGAAAGTATACTTTACTCCCAGATGTTCTCAGGCTTGATTTTATTATCCAAGTACAAAAAAAAATTTAAGAAGGGCAAACAACAATATATTGGCTACAAACAATGGGAACAGCCAAATTAAAGAGGAATCCAATGCTTCTTGAAAAAAAAAAGCATGTTTTTGTAATTAAATGCTCCTTCCAGTGATTTCTGATCCCTTTGATTGGCTGCCTATTGCATTTTTCAGCAAACAGAAATGGGCTAAATATGCCCCTCCCTCAGTATATAATAAAAATCTTATTTGTGACCATTTCAGAGATTAGTTTCTAGTTAACTAGTTGTTTTATATCAAGATAATTTTTGAAGGTAGTAAGAAAATGTGAGTATATGCTAATTACCTGCTATTGTGATTTGAAATTCATAATAAGCAGAACAAAATTCACCCGCTCAAAAATAGTTTCTGACTACACCACTTACAGAGACAAGCAAAGCTTTCCACATAATTCTGAGAAAAATAAGACACAAAATGCCACAAGACTATGATTTTTCTTTACTGAAATAAACCTTCCCATATAAACAGAATTAAGACCCTGTCTTCCGAAGCTAGCTTCTGACTGTGCCTTTTGAACTTTGTGTTTCTATTCCAACCCTATCAATTTCAGAACAGGAAGTAATAGGAAGTGCCAAGCAATGCAGTGAAGAGTTGCCACTCACTATTTAATAGAAATTGTCAACCAGGAAGATAATGTATGTCCTATTTTACTCTAGAATACAGTATGGTATATTTTCTTTGATTTCCATGTCAGGTGAAGCTTATTTATTTTCAGTGGTCATGAGCTTTGCTGAATTGGAAAAAATGGAGGATCTATTCTGTTGTTTTGACTGGGTCAGTATAGAATTTTCATAAGGTTATTACACAGAATTCTAGGTATTAGCGTGTGTTAAAAAATGAAAGTTTATTTTTGGGCTACCTACCATCTTAAGAACAGCATGATGCAGCTAAACATTGTGAGTGATGAATCTTCACAGATTAAATTTAATAAGTAATGTAAACTTTAGCATGAATTATTAGAAAACCTGGGCATTACTTGTCAAGTGAATCTGCGATGAGAAATTATAACATTCTACGGTTGGCAAAAGAGCAGAATATTGAAAGGATGGCAAAGAAAGAGGAACACAGTGTGACTGCATTTATTTTGAAATTATTGTTTAAGGCACAAATTAAATTTTTTAAGAGAAAGGTCATAAAAAGAGAACCAGGAAGCTATTGAAAATGTAAATGAAGTTTTCTAGAAACCTAGCTTTAGTGTGGGCTTAAAAATACTACCAGGTTATGGTGACAAATAGATTGCAAGCCTGCCTGGAACTTTTTCATTCCAATAAGCAGACCCATGTACAAGGATTCAAAAACTGATTGTGGATAAGTTCCTTTGCCCTTTAGGAAGTAGATTAGATGTCTTGTAAAGTACAACGGGTCACTCTTCTAGGACTAAGCACAACCCTGAATCCAGGCTTCCCACCTAACCTGTTATACTTTGCACTTGTGTCAATGTCTGATATTACTGGTGGACCATGTGAAACATGTCAGCCAAATTCCCAAGACTTTGTTAACTCACTATTTACTAGGTACAGTGGCTTGTAAGTAAAGGGGAGGAGACTATTTCATCAGAAATACAAGCTCTCTTGATGGAGGTTATGAATTTATTTCAGTTTTGGTTGTAAGTTTTGTAGTGTATGAAAGAGCTGTCCAAAATAATTCTGTAGAGGAGATTTTACAATGAGTTTCATGCATGAGAACAAACTCAAACTAGAGAAAGCCACAGCCATGGGGCAAGAATGGAAGCTTTCAATGTCTTAAGTTTAACTGCTTTGGGAAGCAATCACATCTGTTGACTGGGGGTCACAGAAGGGTCCAAAGCGTCCATAGATGTCTTTAGCACGCACAGCAAAGTAATATTTGCTGCCAGACACAAACTGAGTAAGTGTGCATGCCATAGGCAGAGGAAGGGCTTTTACTTCCCCAATCTTTTTCCACTGAGAGGGTACAGTGGCACTTGGGTCCTCATGGTATGCATATAGGTGATAGCTATCCACACTGGCACAGCTCCGGTCCACTTCCAAAACACTCCAAGAAAGGACAATGCCATTTTGACTTTGCACTCGGGCTAGCTTCAGGTGTGGCTTCTGAGGCAAAGAATGGTTGGCAGCTTCAGGAGGCAATCGGGAGGGCTGCTGGGCCTCTGGCAGAGGGGCTGGATGCACAGGCCGCAATGGCTCCTAAAGGAAAGAGAAGTGGTGTTGTGAAAGTCGCAAAGAAGTTGCTTCATCATTTCAGAGACTACATGAATTGATCGCTCAACAGTTAAAAAAATCATGCACTTTGTCAAGTGGTAAGGAATTCCAGAAAATGGGAGCAGCCACCAAAAACGCTGGGTTCAGGAGGAATGAAAACTAGGAGGGTTCTTACAGAACCAAACAGGTCACTGCAAAAGAAGGCTACACTAGTCTCAGCAATTTAAGGATTTAAAGATTAAAATCAGCATTTTGAATTGTTCTGTAAGCAAAATAGTAATGTGTTTGTATAATTTTCAGAAACGTCTACAGAATGAATAATTTGTGGCCCACATGTGGCCTCTAGATCTTTTTCTTATGCTCTCAGAAATAACTACATTTTTCTCTTTGCATGTGCACATGTCCTTAAATTTCCCCCCTCGAACCCCAAAGAGGCTCTAACTCTGTCCACCCCTGTGATATCATCCCCTATTTTTTTCCATCTATTAAAGCTTTTCATAGTACTGTCCCCAATTAGCTTTAAAATATTAATGATCCCTGCATAAAAACATTTGATCTACTGTGTGGTTGTATCATCTTTTCTAAATACTCATTTTAATAAATAACTGTACTTACTGAATGTACTGGAGGAGGCCGATGATGTACTGTGAGTTGAGGTCCACCAGATCCTAAAGTTAACCCACTGTTTACAACATAAGCTGTTGTTTGAGGCACTCGCATGGTTACACCTATAAAAGACATTAGTATCAATGTATTTATGTCTAACTTTTTGGAAAGCTATTATAAACCATGCTATTTAATAAGACACAGGTAGTCCTTGACTTATGTCTACAATTAGAATTTGGCCATTGAGTAAAGCGGTTGTTAAGTGAAATGCTTTCATTTTTTTTAGAAATGTGTTATTGATATTTTACAATAACAATCTTTAGTGCCTAGTATACAGTGTGTTGTCTTGGTTCATAAATTTTGAAAAAACAATGAATAGTTAATTAACAGTCAATAATAATTAATTTTTGTACTTCCATTACTAGTATATTTATTAATAGTATATTTCTTTGATCTTCCCTTCTCCCAATAGTATTTGCCTTCAACCTTAAACAAATTTATTTATTTATTTATGAGACTTATATACCGCTTTAAGTGCAAGCACTCTCTAAGCGGTGTACACCAGTAAGCAATGTATATATATATTTACATTGCCCCCAACAATCTGGGTCCTCATTTTACCTACCTCGGAAGGATGGAAGGCTGAGTCAACCTTGAGCCAGTGAGATTTGAACCGCTGACCTGCTGAACACAGTCAGCTAAAGTGGCCTGCAGTACTGCACTCTAACTGCTGCGCCACCTCGGCTCATAATAAAATGTAGAATTCAAAATATACACCTATCTATTAAAGTATATTCTCCTTGAATCTTCACTAATAAGTCAAAACCCCAATTTTCTTCAGTCTTATTCTAGCTTTCTTTCTTTGCCAGCTCGCCTTCCATCTTCGCAATGTCAAATCATCAAATGGATTTCCCTCTGTTATTATACATATTATTTGGAACGAAATAGGTCATCCAGTTGCCATTTTTTTGAAAATGCAAACAAATCGTCTTTCTTTTTCCCCTCTCAAAGTAGTTGTCCTAGAATATTTATCTTCCCTTCAGTCTGTTCTTCTTGTTTCTCAAGTTTCTTCTGGTTGTATAGAAGGTCTTTTCCATATTGTCAATCTCTTTTCTGGGTTTTCCATTAACTCTATTTGTTGATCAGTTGAATCTTCTGTTAACAGTGTTTAATTGTTCCACTTCTTCTATTATATTCTGTGTAGTTGATTCTTTAATTATAGTCGAAGTCTGAATTTGTGTATCTGGGCTGACATCTTGTTCTTTTCTGTAGCCTCTTATTTCACCAGTGGCTGTAAGAATAGTTTTAATAAGTGCTTTCATCAAAAGAAGAGTCTGTTCCTGATCTTCATCCATGTTTTCTTTTTCTTTTTTTTAAATAGGGAAGTGATTTATTGAAATATTGGGTTTTTTTTAAAAAAAGATTCTCTCTGCACATATTAAAATAGTACAGATATTTGGGGGAAGGAGGTAATTGTAAAATCAAAGTGTATCATATTCACAATATCCTGTAAAAAGGGGTTCAGCCTGGATGCCTCGCCTAAGCAAGGTGCACTGGAAATCTGACAAACGGGCATAAGCATCTTGCTGGTTTCGAACTGTCTCATTGCTCCACAAACACTCAGCAACAGCCCTAGCTCTGGGCCACAGTCTTGGGTTTAAATCTGTTGCATCCACATATTTGCCCCACATACAGGCTTCTCCACCAATAACCAGGTTTTTTTGTTCTGTGCTGCCTTTGAAGGCCAGAGGCTCCACCCGATATGCTGCCAATCAATCCTGCCTGTAAGAGATGATGTTCAAGTACCAAGGGCAGGATAGCAGGGTCCGGAAACCAGACTCCGTGACACGAGACATCTCCTCTTGAAAGGTGACGGGGATCCCTTTCCACACGTGTATGACTGTATTAGGGTTCACTTTCACACCATTACCAAACACTTCTTGCCACACCATGTAACCTTTCTTGTAAGAGGAGACTATATCCGACAGCCTTTGAATGTAGAAGGATTCTAATTTGGCATAGTTTTGGCCAAATTGCATTTTCTGCATGAAAGCTTGGATGTCTGTGTTAGGTCTCCAGCAGGTGAAATCTAACTCATCTCCTCCCAGGTGAAGGTAGAAAGCTGGGAAGATGGCACTAACTTCAGCAAAAAATGAAGCCATGGAGTTAAGAATGGGGTTGACCGGCCCGTAGGTCCCACTGGGTTTTGTGGATACGTAACATGGAGTCAACAAGCCTGGGACACCTGGTCCCCAAAAGAGTGTGTGTCCAGGAGTGTCAAATTCTGGAACAGTTTGGATCCCATGCAACCAGGCATATTCAATCACCATCTTCACATCGTTAGAAGTGTATACGTGAGTGGCCAAGTTATAGGATCCCTTCAGGCTGAGATCTGGAAACACCATGCTTTCAAATAGAAATGATGGGTCATCCACAATGTGCCAGTGGAACATGTTAAATTTGTTGTAGGCCATGACATCCAGGGTCTCCAAGATGACTCTCAAAGGCAGATAATGGCGAGATGTATCAAGGAACAGACTCCGGTGAGGGAAGCGAGGGAAATCAACCACATCTGTATTGTTGAGGTAGAATGCCCCATCTTCATCCCTCTAGGCAAGCTGGCTGAAGGTCTCCAATCCTCTGAGGGCACGCCAGATGCTGGTGGCTGTGAGAAGCATCAGATCCACCGAAATGCTGAGCTTATAGTCCTCTGGAGATTCAAGAGTGGGATAGTTACTGCATCCTGCTTGGGTCATGGAGATGAGAAGATTAGGACACACAGGTCCTCCCTATTGCTCCCTGTTGTCTCCTTGTACCCAGGAGTGAAAAGCAGCTGCCAGTAACATCGGAACGCCCTATCCAGCACTTCGCAGCTGGGCTCCGCTGCTGCATGGTTGGCATTGGCGAATTGGAAGTGGCAGGAGCTGAGCCTGGGGGGTCAATGGAGCTTCTTCCTTCATCCTAATTCTGGATTGCTTTCATCACATCCTTGCACTTTAACATTCTATATATTTAGTGGAAATATTCCTCTGTCCTTTCGGCCTGAGAACAGATGTTCACAGCTGTGATGAATGATATTAACATGAATTTTATGGGAGTGATGATGATCCTCATCAGCACTACCACCACATTGGTTAATATTTCAGGGCAGCGATAGGGAGGAAATCAGAAATAGAGATGGAAGGTATCATCCTTTTAAAGTTTAAGAAGCTACTATTCTAGCTTATCTGTTTGTACATGTCTGTGGCTATAAATGCAAAATTTAGCATGTTTTCTTAATAGTGCGTAAAATTAAAAGCTGTATAGTCAGAGAATAAGAGTAGTTTTGTCACTGAGTATAGAACACAGCTGGGCTTCTCAAAGCTGGTATCAGCCAAGGTTGCAAAAGTTTCATCTATTGTCTGGGCTGTGAGCCAAGTCTCTGTTAGGCAATAACGAATTGTAATATCAGGTTTAGCCACAAGGTGTCACCCATACCATTTAGGAATTTTACTTCTTTTTATAGATAAAATAGAATAAAAAATAAGGAATCTTTTAGTTCTCAAACTTTAGGAAAATTAAAGTCCAATTAAAGTCAGGTTAAAGTTCAATTAAAGTCAGGTTATTCTTTCAGTATTTTAAACTCCCCTGGATAGTTGGTTGCCGCTGTTATTAGAGGGTGGGACAGAATTCCCCTTCCCTCTTTCCACAAGGGGGAAAGTACTTTAGGCAACCTATGCAGGTAAAGAAGATAATGGGATTTAAGAGAGGTAGATCTCACCCAGTCTCATCCACGCTGTTTTGTAGGCGCCTGGTGGTAAATGTGACTTCGGCTGTCTGCAGTCTAGTGATGAGCCATATTACTGTGGCTGGACTTTTGCCCGCCGGTTTGGAGAGCTGTGCCAGATCTAGCAGAAAAACTACCGCTCTCCCGCGGAGTCCTCTCCTTGCTGGTCACCCCTACAGGATGACTTTCGACCCTTTCCAGGGTCCCCCAGTGAAGCAAAACTGGATTCGGAAGACGGAGTTCGCCTTCCAGATGTCCATGGTGGCTGTGTCAGCAAACCGGAACTTGTTTGTTCATTCTTTACCATCATTTTCTGAGTGTTTTTTGATTGTTGGTTTAGATTAGAAGTGTGCTCATTTATGTCATCAAAGTTGGTTTTGATCTTGTGGTTTAAAGCTGTTGTCATTTGTATCATAGCATTACATACATTTCCTCCTGGAAAGTATTTGTCTTGTCTTGAAATGTTGCTTCTGGAGGTCTTTGATATTCCAGGCTAAGTCCTTCAGGAGTAAGTATTAAATATAGTTTTCTGTCATTTTTTGATAAGTATGTAATATCCATGTTGTCTCTTCCTTTCAAATAGTCCTTCATCAATGCCATAGTCTCTACAATTAGCCTTGTCAAACCAGCCAAAGTCAGAATCCAAACAGCCCAATTTTGTATAGTTCTTATCTTTATATATAGTTTTTATAATTCACTGTATTTCCAACTGTCAAGGTATCAGTAAAATCAGTATTTTATAACAGTTCTTTTATTCAGGGATCAGTTGTCAACCAGTCAAAATTGCAGTTCAGTATATTTAGTCAACTTGAGTCCTTCCTGTAAATTCCCTCCTAAACTATTAGCCCAGAATCAAAGTTTTTATTTTTCTGTAAAACAATTCTTGAGTTAGGCAACAGTCAGAGTATTTCTTTTCCTTCAGACATTTTTTAATTTTATGGCTGACCCAGTATGTATTCTTTCTTTGTTCCCACCAGCTGTCTTCTAGGGGTTTTTAAAGTTCAAGGGAACAGATTATTCTTTCTTTCTGGGCATCTTGCCAATTTCTGAGTCAGTGTTATTAATGTTCTATGCTCTAGTTCTCCACTAGGTGTCAGTAGTTATTTTCCAGCTTTTTCAGACAAAAATTATTATTATTATTTCATCAAAACCCTTTAAGGTATAATCTTAGCAGTTATTTTTTAATTTCTAGATTTATCCAGACTGCAGTATTTTAACTTTGATTTCAATATATTTCTTTCCTCCTTAAAGATTAATTTGCCGCTTCCTTCTATGAGGGATTGGGGGTGTAGTCCCCTCCCTTCACTTTCAGAGGTTTTCTTACTTTGGGAATCTTTCCCAAGGACTTAGTTACAGAGTAGAGACAGAAGATCGATACTCTCACGAGTTCCAAGCATGCTGTTCACCATTGTTCTGGTTCGTACTCTTGGACTTCGGCTGCAAATAGTTTGGGCTAGACGCTGGTGTGCAGCTAGCTTTCTCCTGTCAGGTTAGGTTCCCCTGGATCGAAAGCAACAACCGCCAACGCTCTGTTATCACAGGGGCACCCCTCTTTCTTCATCACCTCTCCGGGGCAACTTCAGACCCATTTAAGGTCCCCTGGCAGGACGAAATTGGCTGTAGGGTGCGGAGTTCCGCAATCCCACAGCTGTGCGCTACAGCACAAAACTGGAAAGCTAACTGCTTTGCTTAATGACTGCAATCCTGGCACTACTGGTTGTGGTCATTATGTGATCTAGAAATCCACCAATTATTTTTAAAGAAATCAGAGAGAAAAATCTTATTAAAAATCAAGTTGAGTTTATTTTTATTTATTTATTAAATTTATATGCTACCCGTTTCACTATCCAAAGAATGGAGTTGCAAAGTGATGTGCTGTTAACAAGTTTTTAACAACACAAAAATATATTAAATCTTTTTAACATTTTAAAGATTTTTTCATTGAAAGATTTTTCATGTGAAACATTTATGAAATCATACATATTTCTTAGTAAACTATTGCACTGGAAATTAAAATTTTAAAAATTACTGCCTTAAAAATTGAGATCTACATTTTGAAAATATTTTATAACTATCTTGATTTTTATTAGCAACTGATATAATTATAAGTTTCAGTTCACAGCTTGTAAATGTATTTTTGAAAAGACTTCTTACCTGAATTTTGTGGGTTGAGCTGCCTTAAACCAGAATTCGGCATAACAGTGGTTCTCATGGGATTCTGTCCTGATGGTGCAGGAAGAGTAGTGTAGACTACTTGATGGTTAGCAGCTCTCGGTATTGGGAGCTTAGCTGTAGCCTGAGTCACTGGGCGATGTGTTACATTCACAGTTGTCTGGGCTAAGAGATAGGCATAATAATAAGAATAAAAAACGTATGTGTATGAAGACCAACACGTTAAAGAAATAGCAGCTGTAATTTCATATTGTTATGCAAATAGTATCTTTAGCCCCATCAAGCAACATCTGCCTACCCTAGGTCTAAACATCTGGCTGACTGCGTGACCAACCATAACAACAATATAGAAAATATATAGAGTCAAACAAGTTTAAAAATCCAATCACATTAGCATTTTAGAACAGGATTTGTTGGTTGTGGTTATTTCTACAGCAAGTTGCAATCAACGTAATTTAAAAAAAATGCTGGTGATCCACAAGTTTCTAACAGTCATAAAATGGCTCCAATGTTATTCTTCCCTATAACTTGGCGGGGGGGGGGGAATCAACAATTGAGCTGTTAACTCTACATGAAAACATTTGTTGCAACTTTCTGATTCCAGGTGATATTTCTAAGTTTTGATGGAAAGTCTACCTCCTCATATATGGCTAGAGGTATAGCTTCTACTTTCCCTTCAAATCTCTCAATTCAATGAAGCAGTCTTGGAGGTAAAACATTTATCAGAAACAAGGCCAGCATGGCAGAAAGTAGATGAACTGTGTAAATGTACAACTGATCATTCAATGAACCACTAAAGAGACAAATTATCTGTTCATCTTCATTGTAATTTCTGTAAATAACATCACTGTAACTATGGTCTAGTGTTTTTCTGAATCTCATATGGTTTCATCAATTCTCCATTGTCCATAATCTAGGCCAGTGGTTCTCAACCTGTGGGTCGGGATCCCATTTGGGGTCGGACGACCGTTTCACGGGGGTCGCCAAATAACGCAGTCCGCCATTTTCTTTTCCCCTTTTCCTTAGCTGTGCTATTCCCTTTTATTCTATTGGCTTTTGAAAGCCAATAGAATAGACTCTCTTGAATAGAGTCTAATTCTATTGGCTTTCAAAAGCCAATAGGAATTGTCCAGGCTGTCTCTGCCCTGCTGAGCCCGCCAAAAGTCCCATTCTGCAAATGGTGCTGCACCAGTTGAGTAGTCCTCGACTTATGACCGGTTGAGTAGTCCTCAACTTACGACCAGTTGGGGGGTCGCGGCATTAAAAAGGTTGAGAACCACTGATCTAAGCCTTCTTCACGTATAAATTTCAGGCAATATATAAAAGTCCATCTCAACTACTTTGCATAAAATCCCAATTCCATCTCAACTCCTTTATATAAAATCCCAATTCAGAATACCAAAAGCTTTCTTTATGCCTAAAAAAATTAATACAACCTGTTTGTCATTGCATTGTTATAAATATTCAGTTATATCTAAGATGATTCTTACATTACCCTTTACCCTTTACTTATCCTTTAGAAAAGACAAAAGATTTAAATTCATTCTTTCATCATCAATAATAATTAATCTTCAAACATCTATAAAATCTACTTGGTAAACCATCTGGTCCTGGTGTTTTATCTATTTTAGTTTTTTAAATTGCTTTATCCCTTTTACTATTTGGTGTTGGAACTATTAAACAGATACATTAGACAAAATAAAAGAGTAAGAGGACTGCAAGTAAAGGCATATGTTACATGCTTTTGCTGAAGACTTGGTTCTGATTTTATAAAATCCACTGGAGGATATTGAATACGTTATGAGGAAGCTTAAAATATTTGGAGAATTGGTGGGGATGAAAATAAAGAAAAGATGCAAATGTTGGTAAAGAATATGAAGATCAAAGCAAACTGGAAAATAAAACTAGGTTTAAGATTGTGAAAAAGGTGACTCTAAGGTGACCTGGGGGTGACTCTAATAAAAATTCTATTTTGTATAGAAGCAACTGTAAAAATATGGAATAAGATAAAGTGGATTTGCACAGATGGAGAAACTAGATTTGCCACTGATGGGAAGAATCTCTGTTATTAAAGGAAATGTTTTACCCGGAATGTTATTTCTGTTTCAGATCATACAGATTCTGATCAAAGATCTCTCATTTGAGCAATGGCAGGTTATTTCCAAAATTAAGGGGTAAAACAAGAATTAAATACAAGCTTTTAAAAGATGGAAAAGAAAGAGCTTTGCCTGATCTTAGATCGTATACAACGTGTATTGTTTGGTATGTCTGAAAGATTGGATAACATCAAAAAAATGTTAGACCTTGAATATTTTATCTGAGATTTGGATGGCATGCTTATTTATGATACAATAAAGGTTAATCCAGGTTTTAAGAATCAATTTATTAGGATTTCCCCCAAAATGACATGTTGAGTGGCCCCCCCCGGGGGGGGGCGCAATGTTTTTCCTGCTGACAACAGCTGATTTTTGCCACCAAAGTGAGTTCTTTGGCAGCCAGCTCTCTAGATCTGAATCAGAAAAGCTAGGGATGACCCAACATGACCCTCGGAATCTTGAGGATTGCATTTCCCTGTAGAAGCAGTCAGATAGTCAGGTCTTCATCTTTCCTCTCAGCTCTAAGCACACCTGGGTTTTAATCGTATTTGAATTTTCTTTATCTTCATTTTTCTTTTAAAAGTTAATTGACTGATTGAAGGCTGATTTACCTTAACTCCTTGCTGGATTTTAATGTGAATTCTTTAATGTTTTTTCACCTACAAGTTCAAATTGAAAACTTTAGTAAAAAGTTTCATAACATAACAAGGGTTTTAAACAAACCTTAAATCAGACAGAAGCAACTGTAGTCAACCCAAACTCCCAACTGCATGGATTGGAATGTAAATTGCTATTAGCAGATTTAAAGGAGAAGGAATTTGGTTTGGATATTGCAGGTTTTCTGAAGAAAGCTAAAGGGGGATATGGATTCTACAGATTTGGGGTTAACAGAAATCGATGAGTGATGAATTGGACTTTCTTAAGGTTGTTGGTGACTGGGGAATGGACTATATCTAAATGGAAAACAGTTTGGCCTGGAGTTTTCTGGGAAAATGGATTGATAACAGAGGTTTATGATTTTGAGGAATAAGACACAATTGTTAGGAAAGTTTTCAACCAAAATCTTTACTTTACTTTCCATTTTGTTAATTGATAAAAATAAACTATTAACACTTCTATTTCTGAAAGCAATCCTAATGTACAGCATTTTTGCCCAATTGTCTAAAACCTTTGCACAGTCTGTATAGTGTGAGGATCTGGTGAAGGCTCAAACTGCCAATCACAGTCTGTAATAGTTGAAACAGGAGCAAAGACAAGCTGTAGACTATATCAGTGACTTTTGCCTCCTCAGTCAGGACATGAAATAGAATGGAATGAAGAGGCTCGCACTGACCAATTCCAGGAAAGGCTCTCTTAGGAACTGCTGGATGAATTGGCCTGCACCAAATGCCCCTCAACCCTTCAGGGACTCATGCACCTGTGCTTTTGCATTGATACTCTGCAGCTGCATAGGGTTAGAAGATGCATGATAGTACCCAGGCACAGCATTACATTAAGAGGCTCAAGCCACACCCAAGGAGCCCATGCAAATTGGGGGCACTCAAGTTTGTCACAGGTGGAAACGCAGTGTCAGTGACAGAAAGGCCTTTGCCTTTATTGTAGAGGACAGGGTCACATGGCTGCCAAGTGTACTGCCATGATGAATAGGTCAAGCTCACCTGGCAGTGGGTCGTCTCAGTAACCCCAAACCACTCCATCCAGGAACCATACAATCACACGGCTATGGTGGGCTCAGGGGCAACTGCAAATGTTATGGATGCAGCCTTTGTGGCCAAACAGGACATTCCCCAACATGAAGTAGTGCCACCTTTGCTGGGAGAGACAATGAATCAATGATAGGCTGCTTCATTTGGGACTGGTGGTCATGGTAATAGCTTCTCCCCATATACAATTAGGTAACCATGTGGAGCAGGTGGAGTTTTATGTGATTACTGTGCCCCACTTTCCATTGGTATTGGAGCTGGAATGGCTGCAGGTACATGATCTGCACACATCGTGTGGTCATCTGTGGTGACTTGATTTTATAAACCCCAAATGCACTGGGCATAGGCTACATGCTTGCACTATGGAAAAAACAAGGCGCAGAGCCCTTAGACTTCCCACTGGATATTGTAGATTGCATGGATGTGCTTGGAGAAAAGGAAGTTGATCAGCTGCCCCCCATTGCCTGTATGATTGTCCCACTGAGCTGATTCCCAATGCTAAACTGCAGGTGGGACATGTTTATTTCCTGTCCAAGCTGGAGATGGCCGCTCTTCAAGATTTCATTGCTAAGAATTTGTGGAAGAGATTTATTAAATCTTCAATGCCACCATTAGTGCTATTCATGAAAAAGAAATCTAGGGAATTGAAACTATGTTGCAATTATTGGAGGCTTAATGACAACATGATCCAAAACTGTCATCCCTTGCACCTAATTTTGGAGTTATTGGAGAAGTTGTGTCAGGCCAAGATCTTTATGAAATTGGACCTAAGAGGAGCCTACAATTTAGTGCAAATCTGCAAGGAGGATGAATAGAAAACGGCTTTCTGGATATATGACTATTTTGAGTACACGATCATTAAAATTCACCAATGCCCCTGGGGTCTTCATGCACTTTATGCATGATGTGTTCCAGACCTACTGGACCAATTTGCAGTTATATACCTTGATATTTTGGTTTACCCCATTATGGAAGGAGCATTGGGACCATGTGCACATTGTGCTGCAGCATCTCTGGGAACACCAGCTTTTCACAGAGCACGAGAAATGCCAATTTGCATAAGCCACAATTGACTTTCTGTGTCATCAGATTTCTCCTGAGGATGTTGACATGGTCTCTGAGGAAGTCAAGACTCTACATGCCTGGCAACCTCCACATCGAGTCAAAGACATTCAAT